CTGGGCTGGGGGCCAGGACTGGGGGAGCGGGGCCAGGTCACAGCCCCCGTGGCCGTGGCCGGGGTCCACCTGCACACCAGGAACCTGGAGAGAGAGGAGGGTGGAGGAGGGCTCCAGGAAGCCCACCACGTACTCCCTCCTGGGGATGGGGGGTAGGCTTGCCATGGTTCTGGTGCTCACAGCTCAATCACAGGTGTTCTCTGCCCCAAGCAGCTCTCTCTTTTGCTGCCTGCGGTATGGACACGTCTCGCCCCGGGTGGAAGCTGCCACGGTAGACGGCAGAGCCCTGTCGCCTTTCTCCTCTCCCAGCTGCTTCTCCCTCTGGATTCCCGAGACTCCTTCCTCTTGCTGGTGCTTTCTGCGGGCCAGTCAGTGGGATCCTTCTGCTCTCTTCCCTGCCCCCCCCACCCCCCAGCCTGCAGTGACACGGTTACCTCAGAACTGAAATATTCCTGGAAACACCGGCCTCGTCTGGTTAATTTCATGAGCCGTTTTTCTGCCCAGATGACTTAGCTCTTGTTTATCCAGTCTCTCCCTGCTGTCCCTGTATAGGGAGCTGCCCCCCCCCAGGGATGTCCCACAGGGCTCAGAAGGGGAGGGCGAGACAAGGCCAGAGCTGGGGTCCTGAGCACACCACCCCGTCACCCACGGGGCACCCAGAGCCCAGTCCCAGAGCTCTGGCTTACAGGTCTGCTCGGGGCAGGGTGGAGGACAGACAAGCCCAGCTCCCAGCTTCTGCTTCCACTGGGACCCTCGGCATCGTCACAACACCGAGCAAGGCCACACTGGATCTGAAAGCTACCTCAAAGTTGGAAGGGTCGCTGCCCGCCTCAGCAGGTCCCCGACCTCCAAAACGCACCCTGCATGGAACCCATAGGATCCTGGAGGTGACCCAGCCACGGCCGCAGGCTGAGGGTAGCCCAAGGCTTCATGTGAGGCAAAGAGCCTGGTGTTGTCTTACAAGACAGGGGCTCAAACCCAGAGCAGGCAGGAGCGAGGGATGGGAAGGACGAGGAAAGACGTATTCAGGGGGAGAGCCACAGGCTGCGGAAGGGAAAAGGAAAGAACGCCTGTTTCCCCAGGGAGCAGTCAGTGTCTGCTCCTAAGACGCATCTGTGCATGTGTGCACACCAGCCACCCCCCAAACCAAGAGCCCTTCACCCAAAAGAGCAGGGTTTCTGTGACCGGCGGTGCCCCACCCCCATGCCCCATCCGTGAAGCCAGACAGTCAAACATCGGGAAGAGTCAAGACTGACCAGCTGGGCCACTGCCAAAGTTCCCACCTGACCCCCGCAGTCTGTGACATCTCAGACCATCTGAATGCTGAATCCCTTGCACCTTGTCAAATTGTTAAACCTCTCCAACTTATTTCTATCAAAGCAACATGTAGAAAAAAGCAACCAGAGGAAATAAACCACTCATGGCTTCACACCTATTCAAGCTTAAAACCCAAACTTTCCCAACTCTTCGTGACATGCCAGCCGTAGCCCGTCTGACATCCAAATCAACAAGTTCACAAACCTTAGCCCCAGCGAACCCCCTGCTTGTCCAAACCTAACCACAGTCCCTGCCGGACCCAAACCTCAACCACACTAAATCAACCAAATCCCAAAGTTAAACTAATCTGAAACTTTTCAAAGTAACCCCGTCCTTAAACCTACCTAGTTCAATGCCAATTATGTCTCTATCCTATCCAAATCCTGTCTTTGCCGATCCCAGATGGCCATTGAATCCTGACGTTGGTCCTCACCTAAAATCCCTGAAAAGCATGCTTCCCAAGTTCCTATGTCCCTCCTCACAGCACTGAGTGCTGGCCTTTTTTTTTTTTTTTTTTTTTTGAGTTGGAGTCTCACTCGGTCGCCCAGACTGGAATGCAGTGGCCGCTCCTGGCCACCGCAGCCTCGACCTACTGGGCTCCGGCGATCCTTCCGCCTCAGCCTTCCGAGTAGCTGGAATTACAGGCGTGTGCTACCATGCCGGCTGATTTTTTGATTTTATTGTAGAGATGAGGTCTCGCCTGCCCAGGCGGATACGAACCCGCGGGTTCAGGCAATCCACTCATCTCAGCCTTCCAAAGGCTCGGGATTACAGGCTGAGCCACTGAGCCCGGCTGAGCGCTGGCCTTTTGACACCTCACATCCTGGGATGTCCAACTCCCCAGTGCCATCAGCTGACAAGCCTGACTCACCTTGCACAGTTCTCCCCTTTGTGTCCCCACCTCCCGCCAGCAGGCCGACGGAAAGCCCTCATTTAAGTCAAACTTTTCCCCACCCAATACCAGGAAGGGGGCAAACCTTCACACCGCCCCCACTCCCTGCGGTGAATCCTAAATCTCCCTCAACCTGACCCACCCCCGCTTCCCACCCTCAGGGGTCATCCTAAAACAACCCCAAGCTAGCCCCTCAGCCTGACCCCACGGCCTAACCCCACACCCTGCCTCCCATGGCTGACTCCCTCCTGGGCCGCAGCCTCTCTCCTGCCCCTGCCGCAAGGGCCGCTCAGCCCGCCAGCTTTGACATGTGCAGTTCCCACTCTTTGACTCCCCTCAAGCTACACCGAGACTGGAAGAGGAGGCTGGGGTACAAGTGGAACCCAGACACACCGATTCTCAGTCCCTAGGCCTGGCCCCATCCCTCCGTGCGCGCACACACACATGCTGGCGCACACACAGTGACACATGCCAAAGACTTTCCCAGCCGACACACAGATACGCTTTTAAACATCTACTGATAGACACGGGTGCCAAGTCCTCATCCGCAAACGTGCACATGCCTCCTCCCTACCCCCCCTCCATCCCCGCTGCCTCCCATCTGATGTCCCATCCTCAGCCCCCTCCCAGCCCAAGGTGGGGACGGACACCTGAGGGGCTGGCTGCCAGCCGCCTCCCGCCTGGCCCGGGCCCGCGCTCACGCCTCTTGCCCATCCTGTCTGCAGGGGACTCGTGGGGGATGTTGGCTTGCCTGTGCACGGTACTCTGGTACCTCCCTGCAGTGCCAGCTCTCAATCGCACAGGGGACCCAGGGCCTGGCCCCTCCATCCAGAAAACCTATGACCTCACCCGCTACCTGGAGCACCAACTCCGCAGCTTGGCTGGGACCTATGTGAGTATCTGGCTGAGGAATCGGGGAGTTGGGGGGCGAGGCCTGACGGCGGGGGGTCCGGGCGAATGATGGGGCGCTGAGGAGGGCCCGTGGCTCCACGCCGTCTCTCCGTCTGGCCTGCCCCGGCCCTTCCCTCTTGGGTGCCCCCCGCCCCATTCCCGGCCTCGGGACCAGGCATGTGGGCAGGCCTCGCACCCGCCTTGGCCCGCTGCCCCACTGGCTGCCA